CACCTGTGCCCCACAAGCACACGTTCCTGCCAACAGTCATACACATCCCTTAAACATAACACACTGGACCCAAAGGTATCTGCACATCTTTCAACCTGTTCATTGATGGCCACTCTCTATTGCATAGAAATCGGAGGCAAAGATAAGAAGGGGATCTCCGGGAGATAGTTGTGTTAACAGCAGGGAAGCTGCCCTGAGATGGGCAACCTCCCTTGGGGCTGGTAGTGTGAGTGGTGTCCCTGCCTGGATGCCAGGCTGGGAGGACAAAGAGTCTGCGGCCACATTTAATTTCTAAGCAAAGGGCAGGGCATCTACTTGCTAGAGCCCAACTTAATGGGGAAGAAGGCCAAAGAGGAAGGAGTGGGGCCCTTGGAGCGACGGTTTGTAAGCTATGCCTACCACAGGGTCAGATGCCCTTCCTGGAATGGAGTGGGTCAACAAGGAGAACAACTGAAGAGGCAGGAGTTGGGGAAGGAAACAGCAATAGGGCTGAGCACTCAGTGACAGGGAAAGCTCCNGCCAAAGCTACACTAGTGACAACAATTTAGAGGCACAGAGATAATGACAGTCACGTTTCCACTGCTCCAAGCTGCAACTATTTATCAATAAGCTCTAAGCACAAAACCACATTGTGGAATGGATATCTAGCAACGCAGTGGAGACTGTGCCCAGTCAAAACGCATGGGAAGCAGGAGCCAGTCTGCTGGGGCTGGAGGGTTATGAAATAGGTAGCTTGCAGACACCTCTGGTGGCTGCCAACGCCAGAACCCCTCGCGGAATTGTCAAACTGAACCCTAATGGAGTTGTCACCCAAGAAACCCAAATAGGTAGTCAACACCTACAAAAATAAATATTGAAAACAAAAGTCCTCACATATACTTCACATCATTCATACTTTTCCTCTGAGAACCAAGAAAGCCTGGCTCCAAAGATTCCTGGATTCTCACAAAAAGTACAGACTTTAGACACAGCTTGTTCAGCAATAAGGGGCATACACACCTGGGTGAAGACAATCAGGTCACTTTGTCAAGAAATATCAAAACAATAATCTGGCTTGTTACAAAAGTATCTTCAGGCTCCAGGGGAGGTGGAAGGTGCCCGGGAGCCTGCAGGGCATCTGAGTGTAGCACGGCAGGAGGGGGAGGGGGAGGGGTGGAAGAGGGCAGCTCAGTCCCCTTGCCTGCTCACTGGTGGAGGTGGGTGCGATCATCCGGGCGCTTGATGTGGATCCGCCGCACACGCTCGATCCGCTCCCGCTCCCGCTCCTCATCCTCATCCAGGTGATGGGATCGCCCGGCTGCCCCACCTGTGGCCTCTAGGAGTGCATTGTCAGGTCCCCGGCCATCCTGAGCCTCATACAGCAAAATATTCAGGGTCTCCTCATAAATCCGGGCTTCAGGGAACTCAACCTGTGTCCCACAAAATACAAGGCAGGTAACTTATCATAACATAAACACAGTCCTCCACATCTACCGCACCAGTACATCCATCTGTACTTCTAGGCAAATAAGGCCATCAGGCTAAATCAGGCCCCCTAGGAAAGGATATTAAAGAATATCATCATTGTTTTTAAATCAGTTNTCCTCACATATACTTCACATCATTCATACTTTTCCTCTGAGAACCAAGAAAGCCTGGCTCCAAAGATTCCTGGATTCTCACAAAAAGTACAGACTTTAGACACAGCTTGTTCAGCAATAAGGGGCATACACACCTGGGTGAAGACAATCAGGTCACTTTGTCAAGAAATATCAAAACAATAATCTGGCTTGTTACAAAAGTATCTTCAGGCTCCAGGGGAGGTGGAAGGTGCCCGGGAGCCTGCAGGGCATCTGAGTGTAGCACGGCAGGAGGGGGAGGGGGAGGGGTGGAAGAGGGCAGCTCAGTCCCCTTGCCTGCTCACTGGTGGAGGTGGGTGCGATCATCCGGGCGCTTGATGTGGATCCGCCGCACACGCTCGATCCGCTCCCGCTCCCGCTCCTCATCCTCATCCAGGTGATGGGATCGCCCGGCTGCCCCACCTGTGGCCTCTAGGAGTGCATTGTCAGGTCCCCGGCCATCCTGGGCCTCATACAGCAAAATATTCAGGGTCTCCTCATAAATCCGGGCTTCAGGGAACTCAACCTGTGTCCCACAAAATACAAGGCAGGTAACTTATCATAACATAAACACAGTCCTCCACATCTACCGCACCAGTACATCCATCTGTACTTCTAGGCAAATAAGGCCATCAGGCTAAATCAGGCCCCCTAGGAAAGGATATTAAAGAATATCATCATTGTTTTTAAATCAGTTATGTTCAATGGGCAACATTTACACAAGGGGCTGAATTCACAAGAGACGGAGGGGACACAGTGAAACAGGTCTCCCTGTCCTCCCTGCTCCCCAGTTTCCCTTCCTGAAGGCAACATGTCATTCTAAACCCCGACCGAGACTCCCTGCATGTAAATATGTATATGTACACATGTATATTCACACATTGTAAAAAACACAAAAGGTAGCCCACCATACACTTTTCTGTACTTTCCTCTTATCTCTATTTTAACCTGAAGATCATTCCACATTGGGGAACTATAAAGAACAGAAAAATGCAATTAACCAGTTCACTGTCACGGACATTATGTCACTTCCAATACGCTGCTACTAACAGAGCTGCAACCTCACACACAAGTCCTTCCACACCTCAAAGCAGTCTTTAAAGCAGCATTC